CGGGTTCATGCCATGGATGTGTTGTGGTGCTGGTTGTCTGTGCCTCAGGTTCCATGTGCTGTGTTGCTGCACCGCGGGGCTTGGCTGCTGCTCCCCCTCCTGCCTCTCATGCTGATGGTGCTTGAGGCTGATGGTGTGGACAGCAGGCTTTGATTATGACCCAAGAGCTGGAGCACCTCTGCTATGGAAACAGGATGGGAAAGCTGGGGTTGTTCAGCCTGGAGAAGAGAGGGCTCTGAGGAGACCTTAGAGCTCCTTCCAGTAACTAAAGGGGCTTCAAGAAAGCTGGAGAGGGACTTTGGACGAGGGCCTGGAATGACAGGACAAGGGGGAATGGGTTCACTGACAGAGGACAGGGTTAGATTGGATATTAAGAAGAAATTCTTCCTTGTGAGGGTGGTGAGGCCCTGGCACAGGTTGCCCAGAGAAGCTGTGGCTGCCTCATCCCTGCAAGTGTTCAAGACCAGGTTGGGGAGGGCTTGGAGCCACCTGATCTAATGGAAGGTGTCCCTGCCATGGCAAAGGGTTGGAATGAGATGAGCTTTAACGTCCCTTCCAGCTGAGACCGTTCTGTGATTCTGTGGGGCTGTGCTCTGGGGTGCAGGGTCCCAATGGTGGGGGCAGGATAGGGCTGTGCTCCCCCTGTAATTGGGGCCTGACTTCTGCTTGAAAGGCCGGATGTGGTTTGTGCTGAGGCTGCCATGCCCTGAGCTCCCTCGGCGGGTGGGCGGCTCTGTCACGCTGCCTCTCCTCTCTCCCCGCAGGTTTGGCACATGGAGGAATCCAGAATCTCAGCTTCAAGAAGAGTGCACATGACTTTGTACGGAGCTTTTCCTGATAGTCCACTACACTCATTGTATAACCTTACACCTTGATTGAATGCCTTTGGTCACTAAGCTTTGCGTCTGACTCTTCCTCCTCGTATCGTGTTTTTATGTCTTTTTAAACTATACGCCGTAAACCTCAACTCTTTTTGGGTCAAGTTCTTAATCTTATTTTTGTTCCAGGTGTAGGCTGCGTTTTCCCAGTAGCACGCAGATGGGTTGACCTTAGATAGGAGTAATTTGAACAAAAGGAATCCTGTTAGTTACTTGTTTTGGTGCAGATTTATGGTGTTTCCAAACCAGAAATTGCTGCTGCTGCAAAAGCCATAGCAGAGTGAGCCTGTTGAGGCTAAAGGGATGCAGAGAGCAAGGTAGCACTAGGATTGTTCATAGGAATTCTGCCTGGAATGGGACAGCGAGGGAGCAGCCTGGCCTTTCCCTGTTCTCCATGCAGGGAGCAGCATCAGGGAAGGGGGGCTGCTCTGCCCCTGCTTCACCCTGCCACGGGGTGAGCCTGCCTTCCTCCCAACCCACTTTTGAATTTAGGGAGTTGGGTTTCCATCAGAGCTCCATCGCACCCTGAAAATCCCACAGCATGGAGCATTCTGTAAAGAGAAAGGAAAACAGTGGACAAAGGGAAGGTGCTGTTAGCAGGGGAGGTGATGGAGGCTCAACTCAACAAAAACACCCCTGTCCTCCCTCCCTCCCCCGGGAAAGGAACCATCAGCCCCTGCTGTCCCCGCTCTGAGCACACCTGCCCGTTCTCTCCTGCCACCTGATGCTGGTCATCGCCGCTTGCCTGGTCTCACAGGACACATTGCTGCCCCCCGTGCCCCCTCCTCTGCTCTGCCCAGTCCGTTGGTAACAGAAATTCCTGCCGGTCACTTCCTTCTCCGCCGCACAAAGGTATCCAGTTTATTATTGCAATAAAAACGCTTTATGCTGGCTTTTCTCAGCTCTGTGTCCTGGAGGTTTTTCCCTTGCCCGTCTGTCGCTCAGCGCAGCAGGGGCTGGGCTGGGCTTGTGGGGTGCTGTGGGTGCTGTACCCGGCTCACGGGTGCTGTGGGTGCTGTACCCGGCTCACGGGGTGCTGTGGGTGCTGTGTGGGGTGCTGTGGGTGCTGTTCCTGCCTCACAGGGTGCTGTGGGTGCTGCTCTGCGCTCCCAGGGTGCTGTGCCAGGTTCATGGGGTGCTGTGGGTGCTCCGCCAGGGTTGTGGTGCTGTGCTGGTGTGCCTTGGTGTGAGGCTCAGGTGCTCAGCTCTGGGAGTGCAGTGGGATGTCTGGGGCTCCTGGGCTCTGTGGGGAGCTGATGGCAGCCTTCTGGAATTTGCATAATTAATTGCCTCACCATAACCTATTAAGTGTTGCCCTCACAGCCTCGTGCCCTTGCAGCTGTGATTCACCCCAGACTGGGAGCATGAAGGGCAGACTGATGCATGTTCCCAGGGTCCCTGTACCTCTGGGGAAGTCTGTCCATACATCTCCCTGGATTTATCTTGGCCGTTTTTGGAAGCCGGACATGGCACGTGGGACACGGCACATCCCCCGCTTTGGGCTTGGCTGCTCCAGCTGTGGATGTTGTGTGTGTAGGAGCTGCTCGGGCACCAGCACAGGCCAGCGCCCAGCTCCTCAGCTGACGGCCTTTGATCCAGTGCCACGACTGATAACACAGCCACGATCGATAACACAGCCAGTCCCAGCTCCAGAGCAAAGTTTGTGTGTAACAACAGGGCCTGGAGGGAACTGTGGCCCTGGGGCAGGAGCAGCTCAGCCACTGGGATGCATCCAGGAATAGAGGGCTGTGCAGGATTGGGGCCAGGCTGTGCAGGAATTAGCACTGCCCTTAATTGCTGCTCAGCGAAGCAGAATGGGAGCTGCTGGGGCACCAGCAGCCCACTCTGCCCTTGGCTGTGGCTGTTTCTGGGCGGAAGCTCAAGGCCAGCTTGGGTTTCTCTTCCTGCAAAGCTTTTTGCTTTAATTATTAACCAGTGCCAGGCAGTGCCATGGCTTCTGGCTGGAGATAAACCAGGGCTGGGGAGAGGCTTGGGGGAGCTTGCTGACCTCAGGCCCGCAGCCCCTGCATGGTTCCTGCAGCACCTATAAGTGCAGGTGGGGTATAGGTTCTTCCAGATCTGGTTTTAGGGGGGATGAGGGTTTTGGGGAAGGGACAGACTCCTAGGAACCATCTGTCTGTATAGGACTCTCCCTGCCACTGGGGCTGTTCTTGTCCCGGGCTGGCCACGACAGCCAGGGACCATCCAACTAAAAATAACACCAGTAAATAAAATGCTTCCTCCTGGTCTGGCACGCAGGAGTGGAGGCACAGGGAGCTGGGACTTGCCTGGCCATGGCTGCACAGCAGGACTGGCCCCAAGCCAGAGAGCTCTGGGCTGGTGCCACCGACTGTGGGCCCGGCTGAGCACCCTCAGCACCACACTGCCCAGCCCCTGAGGACATGGTGTCCTGTGTGGTCCCTGGTGTGAGCAGCAGGATGTCACAGGTGAGTGCTGGAGGGCTGGATCCCAGAGTGACACAGCGATATCCCATGGCAGTGGGATGCCACATCCACCTCGCGCTGAACTCCGCACTGGTTCAGTTTTTCCACCTGTGGTGTGGGACTCCCACGGGGCTGTCATGCCTGGCACGTGTCCCAGGTGACAGCTGGAATGGTGCAGGACACGGCATCCCAGTCACGGCTGTGTCAGCCCCACGTGCCCGGGCAGTGAGGTGTCAGCAGGAGCCACCGCCCACGCAGGGGCTCACGGTGGGGCATCCCCTTCATCCCCCGGCAGGGCCGTGGAGCCCAGGATGGGGTGTGGTGGGGGGCACCCCCTTGGGGGGGCCAAGCCACGTGCTGGGGCTGACAGGAGGGGTGATGCAGTGTGGGGGGGGAGTGCTACAGGCTCATCCCTGCTCCTCCAGGATGCCCAAATCCATAGAAAGCCATCCCTGTCCCCAGGGCCCTGCACAGTGTTGCCTTCACCTTCCACTTCCTCTTCCTCACCTATGCCCTATCTGTCTGGGCTGCGATCAGCTGAGGCTGCCTGACCCCTCCCTGGGCTGGGCATGGCTATAAAATCCAGCGGCCAAGCAAAGGGTGTCACAAGGATCTGGGAGCTGTTGGCAGGTGAGTGCAGGGGTGCCAGGGTTGGGCTTGGACAGTCTTGTCCGTTGGATGCTGCTGCCATCCCTGAGCTGCGGGTGGGATCCTGCCTGGTTCCCGCAGGGCTTAGAGCTGGGTCTGGATTTGGCCCCTACCCACCAGTTTTGGATGATACTTTTTGGGGAAGGCAATGCTGTGGGGCAGAGCTGGGGGAGTGCAACCTTGCCCTGGGCACAGTATGAGGTGCACTGGGAACAGAGGGGGCTAATGGGGGGCAGAGAGGCTGTTTGCATGGGATATCCCTCTCCCTTGTCTGGATGATGCCAGGCTGGTCCCAGGGCAGGTGGACATGGGGAGCAGAGGGGCTGATGGGAGGCACAGGGTTTGTTCCCATGGGATATCCCACTCCTCTGTCTGAGTGATGCTGGGATGGCCCCACTGGACAGGTGGACATGGGGAGTGGGACCTGCCACCAGGAAAGCAAAGCCCAGGTGCCTGTGCCTGGCAACCACCCATGTCCCAGCCACCAGGAAGTAGTGGCCCTGGTGACACAGCCTTGAGTCATGCCAGAGGCTCTGGGCGACACCCTGTCTGGGACACCTGGGCCGGGAGGGGGATGCTTGGAGAGAGGTACCCCAGTCCCTGAACTGCCCCATCCCTGTCCCCAGGCAGCAGCAGCGATGGCAACGCTCTACCCCTCCCTGGAGGACATGAAGGGCCATCAGGTCCTGCAGGTCAGTGCCAGCAGCATTCCGGGGGGTGAGCAGACCCCAATGGAGGGTGCACAGGGTGGGGGGCACAGCACTGAGCAGACCCCATCTCTTGGCAGGCACAGGCAGCTGCTGGGGTGAGGACCCCCCCCACCACAGTGGTCACGGAGAAGCCAAAGCTCACCTCAGGCACCGGTAATGTGGGGCACAACCAGCTCACCCTGTCCAGGGGCTGCCTGGGGGGGTGATGCTTGCCATGTGGGGGACTCAGCTGAGATCGCCCAAAACTCAGTACGTGGGTGGGGGATGGAATTTTGGGGGTTTCTTTCTGCTGGCCCATGGTCCCAGGGGGCTCACAGGCTGGAGGGTGGCAATGTCTGTGAGTAGGGGACCCCAGGAGCTGAGATCACCCTCGGTGTGTCCCGCAGAGCCACCTGTGCTGTACCCCAACCTGTCCGAGCTGGAGAACTACATGGGGCTCGCGCTCTCCAGCGAGGAGATCCAGAAGAACCTGCACCCAGAGGACAACACTGTAGGTGTCTGAGCCAGCTGCTCTCCCTGTCCCGCATGGGGTCTCCGTGCCATGGTGGGGGTCCTTTTGGGTCCACATCCTACCCAGGGAAGGCATGCAGCACCCCCAAGGGCTGAGGTGCACAGGGCCCTGTGTCCCCCCCCATTCCCACTGACCCCTGGCTCCACCACAGGCCCTGACCCCCGTGGGCCCCACCCCGGGCCAGCTGGTCGCCCCCCTGACCGGGAACAGCGCGGGGCTGCGGCGGGCAGAGATCAAGCCGGGCGTGCGGGAGATCCACCTGTGCAAGGACGAGCGGGGCAAGACGGGGCTGCAGCTGAAGAACGTCGACCAGGTGAGGGGCTGGGCTGGCACGGGGCTGGGCACGGCACAGGACAGTGTGGCACGACGTGACGTGGTGCACTCGTGGCATAATCGTGACAGTGTATCACGGCACGGTGTCTCACGGTATGGCAATGTGTGGCATTAAATGCCACAGCGTGCCACAGCACAGCAGGGTGCAGAGGGCATGGCACGGCATTCCATGGAACCGTGCCACCGCTCCTCTGTGTCCCCAGGGCATCTTCGTGCAGCTGGTGAAGGCCAACTCGCCAGCGGCGCTGGTGGGGCTGCGCTTCGGGGACCAGGTGCTGCAGATCGACGGCAAGAACTGCGCGGGCTGGAGCAGCGACAAGGCACAGCGGGCACTGAAGAAGGCGAACCCCGAAAAAATCGTCATGGTGGTGCGGGACAGGTGAGCGGGTGGCAGTGCTGGTGGCAGTGCCGGTGGTGGCAGTGCCAGTGGCAGCACTGACCGTGCTCTCCCACAGGCCTTTCCAGCGCACTGTCACCGTGCACAAGGACAGCACCGGCCACATCGGCATCGTGGTGAAGAAGGGGAAGATCGTGTCGCTGGCCAAGGACAGCTCAGCTGCCCGCAATGGGCTCCTCACCCACCACTGCATCTGTGAGGTGAACGGCCAGAACGTCATCGGCATGAAGGTAGGGCTGTGCCCTGCTGGTGGCACAGGATGTGCCCAGGGAGTTCAGGATGTGGCCAGAGAAGCTGCAGGGGTTCTGAGCAAAGCTGGGCACCCCACAACCCCTCCCTGCTCTCCCCCACAGGATAAACAGCTCACGGAGGTGCTGGCAGGGGCTGGGAATGCGGTGACGCTGACCATCATCCCCACTGTGATCTACGAGCACATGGTCAAACGGTGAGAATGTGGGGCTGCAGGGACCCCCACACCCCACAAGGCCCCCTGGGTTCCCCTCACTGATCTCCTCTCCCTCTGTCCCTCTGCCCAGGCTCTCATCAGGGCTGGTGAAGTCATCCATGGACCACTCCATCCCTGACCTGTGATGCCATCACTGCCTTCCTGGGGAGCTGACACTGGAAGCTGGGAGGAGCTGCTGAGGGGACCCTACAACATCTGAAAAGAAGCTTTTTTAGTGTGAATCTCCTCATCGCTCCAGAGGCTGGTGGCTGCTGGGTGGTTCTTCCTCTCCTCAGAAGGGGTGGGGCAGGTGTCCTGTCCCAGGGTCCCCATGTCCCCCTGTCCCTGCTCAGGCCAGCCCCCCTCAGGGTGGACGCCAAGGGCTGGCTCCAGCCAAAGCAGACACAGACCCAGCGACGTTTATTACATCCACCACAGAGAGTGAGTACAGGACAGGGGAAACAAGAAAAGGGGGGTTTACAGCTTTTTCAGTTCTGTATTTAAAAAATATATTATATAGATTTGTCTTTCAAATATAATCGTTACATTTATTTCTTGGCAAAGCTTTGGATAGTCTAACAGACGTGTACACAGATCCACAAATACATTGCACGAGAGGCGAATATCCCAGCTCCGCTTACATCTGCCCCGGCTGCCTGGACACTGCTGCTCCCCAGATCTTTTCCCCGGCACCTGGTGCTGGGCTGGTGGAAGAGCTGCTGCCCCCCACTGCCCCCCAGCACAGGCAGAGCCGGCGGATGGGGGATGCAGGGAAGCGTGGGGCACGCGGATGTAGGCTCGTGCCCCTGCGCAGGGACGCTGGGGTGCCGGTTCTGTATGTGGAGCATTCACCAGCTCCCAGGGCACCCGGCCAGTGCACCCCATGGGTGGGGGAGTGGGCTTGGGTTGGGGTGGGGGGAAACACTGTTAGTTCAAGTCACGAAGAAACCACAGACATTCGTGGGGTGGGAGCGCGGCGCGCCCAGGGGGAGCCTGAAGTCCCGCGCCCCAACAGCCCCGCTGAGCAATCCTCGCTGTCTTTGCGTCTCGACAACAAAAAAAAAAGGCATTTTTCTGGAGGCCACCAGCAAAGCGGGGATTTGGGTGGGCCAGGGGGGCAAAGGGCTTGGCTCTGCCTGCACGGCACTGCCCGCACCCCGGCAAAGGCATCCGAGCTCCAGCACATGGTGGGATAACCGGCATCACTGCTGCCGAAACTGCGAGAGGCCCCCGACCCGCTGTCTGGTGGCCAGAGTCCCAACACCCGGGCTTCAGTCTGTACCCAAAAAAAAGTGAATATAGTGCAAAGCAAAGGGAGGGAGAGCCCACGGCTTCCTCGGGGCACTCCATGTGTGAGCAGCAGCACAGTTCCATCCTGGTGTGGGGAGGCATCTCCCAGGGAAGGGGCAGCTGGATCGAACCGCCCCGGAGCTGGTTCCTGTTTCCGGGCAGGATCCCCCCATCCCGCTGCCCACAGACAGACTCTGCACCTGGAACAAGGGACCACTGCACCCCCAGCACTCCCCGCTGCCAGAAGCTGCTTGCCATCACCCACCCGTGGCAGGGCTGACCCTCGGGACAACCTGGGGACAACCAAAAAGCAAGTGTGATGGAGGGAGAGCCCACCTGGTGGGTGCAGCCCCCCGCAGCCAGAGGTACGGGCAGGGATGTCCATCAGCAGGGGGTGATGCTTAGTGCCCCTCTTCCAACAACAGTCCTTTCCTTCCTCCAGGACAGAGGAGCTGGAGGGGGTAGCACACCCCGACACACCCACAGACCCCTCCACCGTCGGCCGTCCCCCGCCAGTGCACACAGGGGTTGTTACAATCAGCAGTCGGGTCCGTGGGGGCGGGGTGGGGGCTCCGGGGGGTCAGGGCTGGGCGGCTGCCCGCGGGGCAGGGCTTGGCGACGGGGCGACAGCCCATCCTGCGGATGGAGTGGAGGGCGACGGTGCAGCAGCCCCGCAGCATGGGAGCTGATGTTTGTAGATGGGCTGGCCCTGCCGCGCTTGCGAAGGCGCACAGCGCAGGCCACCGTGGGCACCCGCTGGCACACCGACTGCCGAGCAGATCCACGATGAAGTGGCGGTCCAGTAGCTCTTGGAAGGGTTGTTCTCGGAGCGTCGCTCCGTCAGCTCCTCCTCGGCAGATGGCCACCGAGGGGCTGGCGCTGGGGGGCTGCCGCACCGCCGGGTTGCAGGGGGCACTTCCCTCAGCACCGGTACCCGCCGTCGTGGCATCGGGCTCGGCCACCAGCATGTCCGTGGCCCCAGCGGGGTTGGCGAGCTCAGGGACGGGCATCGTGTCTTCCATTTCGGAGACCCAGGCGGAGGTGGGGCTGCCCAAGCTGCAAGCCTGGGACTTCATCACCTTCTCCAGGATGGTGTCCAGGTCGGGCTGGCAGGGCACAAAGTCCGTCTGGATGGCCCGTTCCTGCATGCAGCTGGCCTGCACCCCTGCCTCCACGCTGCCCCGCAGTCCCAGCACCTTCTCGTAGGTGTTGTTGGGGGGCAGGCGGGTGCCAGGCTCACCCCCCACCTCCAGTGGGTCCGTGTGGCCCGGAGCCTCCTCCATCCCCACGAAGCCACTGTCGGCCCCCTCGTCCAGCGAGATGGTCTGTGAGCCCCCCACGTTGCGGTCCCCGGCCCCCTGGTCGCTCAGCTTGGTGTAGGTGGAGCTGCGGGTGAGGGATCGGGCCGGGGACCCCCCGGCTGACTCGCCAGCCCCCTCCTCCTTCAGCGCCCCGTTCTGCGCCACCTCCATGCTGTGCAGCAGCGTCTCCAGCTTCTTGTTCTGTATGTTGATGTCCACAAAATACTTCTGGAGGCCCTTGTCCTTCTCCAGCAGGTTGTTCTTCACTGTGTCGATGACCTGCTTCAGCTGCTTTATCTCCTTGCGGGCCTCCTTCAGCGCCAGCTGGGCCTCCACGCGGTGGCACTCCTCCTCGATCCAGTCCTCCTGCATCCGTGACAGCTGCGTCTTCAGGTCCTCGATCTCAGCGTCCCTGCGGAGATGGGAGGGCACCGCCACGGCGCTGAGGGGGCTGCGGGGACAGCCCTGCCCTCGTGTGCCCAGCACTGAGTTGGAACCAGATCACCCAGTAACACTCGTGACTGGATCCAGCGGCTTGAGGACCCTCGGGAGCAATGCTCAGGACCCCAGGGGGTGACACTCAGGGACCCTGAGGAGGGATGCTCAGGGAACCTCAGGAGCAATGTTCAGGGAGCCCTAAGAGTGATGCTCAGGGACCCTTGGGAGTGATGCTGAGGGACTCCTAAGAGTGATGCTCAGGGACCCTCAGGAGCGATACTCTGGGACTGTCAGGATTGATGCTCAGGGACTCTTGGGATTGATGCTCAGGGATCCCCTGGGAGTGATGCTCAAGGATCCCTGGAAGTGACACTCAGCCTTCTCCTGGAGGGGCTGCAGCACCCAGGGCTCCCAAGGGCTGCGTGGGGGTGGGCAGGTGCCCTGGGCAGGCGTGTGGCAGCTGGCATTCCAATGAGGACATGCCTAAGCCCGAGAGGAGCAGATGGGGATTAGCCACCCTCTGACGCTGAAATTCAGCAAAAGCACGGCAGGGACTTAACCGGGGCGAGGGGAGAGCGCAGCCACCACAGGTGGGACGTGGGGCTCTGTGGCCCCCTAATCTGCAGCTCTGGGTTGGATGGGCAGCAGTGCCAGACCCCTGCAATGCCACAGTAGAGCTGTGACCTCGGTACCTGGGCACGAGCCCGAGGACAAGATGCCGTGCTGGGAACTGAGACCCCGAGAAGGACCAGTCCCAGACAGGAGCTGCCAGGCAGGTGGTGATGGCTGGTGCCAGGACCCTTCCTGGCAGCTCCTGTGCCAGGGAGTCAGTGCCTGCTGCTCCCGTGCTCACCTGTCCTGCAGCCGCTCCTGTGTGTCCTTCAGGCGAGCCTTCAGGTGCCGGATGCAGACCTCCTTCTGCTGCAGGGGGGTCAGGTACTGCTCCGGCGTCGGCGGCTTTATCCCATGGTTGTCACTGCAGAGGTTGTACTTGGACGAGCGCCTGCAGGGACATGGATGTCACCCACTGCCAGTGCCAGGGTCAGCACAGGCTCGGCCCAGGGGTACCAACCTGCTCCCGGGTTGGAGCAGGTCCCAAAGGAGCTCTGAGAGCAGAAGGGATAGGATGAGTGCCCGAGGGTGCTGTGCTGCTGGCAGGAGGGGCAGGATGCATGTTTCAGGTGCTATGCCACTGGCAGGAGGGGCAGGGTGGGTGTCTCAGGTGCTGCGTTGCTGGCAGGAGGGGCAGGGTGGGTGTCTCAGGTGCTGTGTTGCTGGCAGGAGGGTAGGTGCAGTTCCTAGACCCACTAATGCTACTGGCGGGCACTGAGCCTTCTGTGGAGCTGGGATTTCGCTAGGGCATGAGCAGAGCTGGGAGCAGGTGGGCACCGAGGTCTCTGTGTGCCCATAGTGAGCTTTCCAGGAACGACTGATGTGGATGGAGACCCCAGGGTGGGATCAGCCCCATCAGGAATGGAGGCAGAGGATGGGGAATGGAAGGGTTTGGGAAGGAGCAGGTCTGGAGATGGCAGCTGTCCTGCCTCTGGAGAACAAGCCAGGGCATCCAGCATTTGCTCCAGGCTGGGCCAGCAGCACATCTGGACCCTCCTTGTGCCACCCCTGGCACTGGGGTGGAGGAATTGACATCTCTGGCCCAAAGCCTAGGGCAGAGAGCTGGGGCTGGTCAGGGAGGCTGGTTTTGCACATTTAGAGGTATATGGTGGGCTGGGAGGCACATGGAGAGCTGGGAGCAGAATGAGCGGCTCCTGCATGGCAGTGGGGGAACCGAATTCCCCGTGCATGGCAGCAGGGTGGTGGGAATTCCCTGTGCATGGCAGGGGGCCATCCCAAAGCCCCCATGCATGGTGGCCAGCAGCCCAGCAGCCTTCGGCCAGGGACAGAAGCATCATGTTAGAAGCATCCAGGCAGGACTGTAGCCTTGGACTGCCCCATGGCCACTGTCCCCAGTTGCAGCACTCATGGGCCCTGATCACCATGTCACCCACGGGCCCTTCAGACCCTCCCAGACTGACTCCACCTCTGGGAGCTGGAAGGTGGCTGGGGACACGCAGGAGTTGGGCCTCACTCCCTGGAGCAGTGCACCATGGGCTGCTGTGCCTGAGGGGCTGGGGCTGGTGCTTGTCCCACAGATTGGTGCCAGCTGTTTGTGCCCGAAACACACCAGCAGCTCCCTGCTAAGAAGCCGGGGTGCCACCAGCTCTTGCCAAACCTTTGCCAGGCAACACAAGGGGATGGAAGCGAAGTTCTTGCTCTCGTGCCTTTGGTCTGGAAGGATCCAGGTGCTCCTTGGAGTGCGGGAGCGGCAGGAGGGAGCGTGCAGCGTGCAAGCCACAGCCACAGCAGGACGGAGGGAAGGGGACGGGGGCCCCTGAGTGGCAGGCAGGGGGACAGGGAGGGACACAACACAACAGCAGCAGTGGAGAGGTTTGGAGGAGGATAGTGAGGGTCTTTGGAGACACGCCAGCAGCTCTGCCAGCTCCAGCTCCCCCAGCCACCACGCGCACAGCCTCACTCCACTGGGCCCTGCGCTCCTGTCCCTGCCGGGCATCGGCACCGGCAGCATGGGGGGGCTGCTCCCCCCTGCCCAGGGGCACCCGGCAGCCACCCTGGGGCCACGGGTGATGGGTTACCTTGGGGTGGGGCTGCTGTCGCTGCCCTTGCAGGAGCCAGAATTGCTGCTGCTGCTCAGCGAGGAGGTGCCGTAGGTGTCCCTCCCGGGGGGCGAGGGGCGCCTGGAGGCAGGGAGAAGAGGCTGTGTCTCAGGCCGAGTGGCTGAGGGCGCTGAAGACTTAAAGAAGGAGGCAAAGCCACTCCGTCCATAAACCCCGCGACTGCCAACCACCACACCGAGAACACACAAGACAAAAGGACAAAACAAACAGCAGGGATCAAAATGGCACGGACATGGCGATGGGCACAAAGGCAGGGCTGGGGGGGACGCCCACCCGCTCCCCCCTCCCTGGTGTGGCAGCCCCTGGATGCTGGCACAGCATCCTTGCACCCTGAGGACCTTGGGAGCCCCTGGGACCCCCCGGGAGCCCCTGGAGAGTCCCCTGGGAGCGTGGTCCCGGCAGAGCTCGGGCCATGTCTGCCAGAGCATCACCTCCACATGGGCAGCTCTGCCTCTTCTCCCTGCCCATTCTGGGCCTCTACCTCCACAACAGCAGACCAGGTCATGGAGACATTGGAAAGGAACAAACGCTTTTTTCCTCCCTTTTTTGCCTCTATCACTCAGCTCGAGGAGAGACTTTCCAAGGGCTAACACACCTCCCAGTTTCACTGCCCCAACCCCAGTGCTCTCCACCACTCACTGCCTGCCTTCGCCCAGATGGACGGTGGGGTCGATCCTGGCCGTGGCACAGACGGACAGAGGGACGGGGAGTGCAGCGCTCAGGGGGCCACATGCACGGACAGGGAAGTGCTGTGCAGTGGGCAGCGCCATGCAACCCCCCGAAAGCTGGGCTGGGGGTTCGTGCTGCGAAGTGGCAGCTGGTGGTGGAGGCGTGGGGATCATCCCCTCCCGGCTGCAGGTGCTGGTGCCCGGTCCTGGAGCCAGAGGTTGCAGCATATTCACCTTCGTGATCCAGTGGACGAGCGTCTGCTCCCCGGCATGGACATGGCCGCGGTGCCACGGGTCCTGGGCACAGGGAACTGCGGGTGAAGGCAACAGAGAGAGGAGGTGAAGGCAGGAACGCGGCCCCGGGGAGGCAGACACCCTGCAAAATGAGAGGTGAGCCCTGGCACCAGGGTATCAGTGTAGGCCCGAGGGCCACCAGTCCCAAGGCAGACGTGGACAGCATCCCCTGCACATCTGGGCTGTGCTTCCTGCCTGCCTCCCATAGACTGGGAATGCTGGGATGCAGCATGCCTTGGGCCCATCGGGATGCTGTGGGCACAGGGCGAGGGTGTTCTTAATTTAGAACAGCAGAGCAGGTGCCTGCCCATGGTCTGGAGCTCCTTTCCCACCAGGCTCCAGACACGGGACAAGATTCCCGCTGCCCCCAGGTGCTCATCCATACCAGAAGGAGAGTATGCCACAGAGACACAGGGTGCCTGCAGTGGTGGCATTACTCAGGGCAGAGATGGGACAAGGGCTCTGACACCCGTCCCTGGACCTCCCCGGGCAGGCAGCTCTCCCCGCAGTGGGATGGGCGCCTGCTTTGCCATAATTAAGTCCAAATCACGCATTCAGCAGTGAAATCAGGTGAGGGAGAACAGATCCCTGCATGATGAGGCAGCAGCAGCTAATCCCTCGGGAACCACAGAGCCTGCTTTCCTGTAAATAAATAGGCCAGATCCAGAGGCTTGCAGCACCTCGGGCACATGCAGGATGTCAGGGAGTGAGGGAAGCATCCGCTCAGCACCCGCATCCTGCCAAACATCCCACGGCACCGCTGGGATCCCCACTGTGCTCACAGTCTGCCAGAGAAGGACGGGATGGGGGCACTGTGTGCTCCTCCCTCCCCCCATCCCCAAGCCCATTCACAATGCCAGCATTTATCCCAGATTTTGGCAGAGCAACGCGAGCGATGGGACCAGCCAGCACATAATCGATGGGTGACAGGAAACACCCGGTGCTGCTGGCCCTGCTCCAGGGGAGTGCGAGGAGTGGGACAAGAGGGGAGGCAGGAGAGGAGGGGGGGCACAGCAAATGCACCCTTTTGCATTTGCCACCCCAGGATGTTTTTTTCCAGGCTGCCTCAAAGCCCACCCTGCCCAGCCCAGGCCTCTCCTTTGCCCAGGATTCGCTGTTCCCTGATCTCCAAACCAGGGCACTGAAGAGCCCAAAGTGCTGGGGATGTGTAGCCACAGGGTACCCCCAGCCCCAGCCAGGGCGGGGGCAGCACCCCTGGGACACTGCAAGAAGGAGCTGGGGGTCCTGCTGCTCCGACCTGGGATGGATTTGCCAGGAGATGACCTGGGCAAGGGGAGGCAGGCTCTGTCCTGCTGGATCACTGCTCCTGAGTGGCTGCGAGCTCTGCTACTGCAGCAGCGTGAATCAGCATCCATGGAGAGCCAAGCGTGGCCAGCAGGAGCATCCTCCAGGATTCTCCGGCATCCTCCAGCAGCGCCACGCAGGGCTGCGGCACAGCCTGCACTCCAACAGCTCTTGAGCAGGGATTTAGGGAGATCTGTGGCCACGGGGGTTGACTCCTTGCCCTCTCACAGCCCCAAGCCCTGTGTCCTGGGCCCTGCAGCCAGTGATATCCATTATCAGCCCAGTGGTATTCCAGCATCAGCCCAGTGGTATCCCAGTATCAACCCAGCGTGCCCAGCATCAACCCAGTGTACCCAGCACCCACCCAGTGGCATCCCAGCTGTACCCAGGTCTTTCCCCACCCACGGCAGAGTCACCCTCATGCCATGCCACTCTGCACAGGGGTCCCTCTGCCCCCTCCTAACACGCAGCACCAGTAAGTGCCAGCACCACAGACGGCACGTGTGTGTCCAGCACTTGGGGCTCCTGAGAGCACCCTGTGCTGCACCCCAGGCACCCCCTGCCAGCATCCGCAGCCAGGAATGGCTCTGTGGGGAAGCCTGGATTTGACCTTATGTCTGAGGAGCTCATTTCGTTCTCTTCCTCCTCCCACTGCTGCAGACTTGCCTGGTGCCCACGCCGAGGCTCAGTGCCTCCCACAGCACCCAGGGTGTCTGGAATTCAACCACCGGTAATGAACTGTCACTGTCTTTATTCTCAAAGAATCAACGGGCCACTTCAGTCTCCCCAGAAGCCTCACCATGCCCAAGGGCTGCCCAGGACAGGCAGGGTGGGCAGACTCAGCACCAAAGCCAAACACACACCTTCCCGTGTGGTGCGTGGCTCCCAAAGGCTGAGGAAATTATTGATCTGCACACAGAATTACCCCCATCACATGGACCAGGATGAGCTGCTGCAGCACCAATGGAGCCTCACTAGGAAGGCAAGGAGAAACCCAAGATTAACTCTGGTCTAGTGGGTGGCATCCCCGTCCATGGAGGGGGGTAGAATCACAGAATGGTATGGGTTGGAAGGGACCTCAAAGCTCATCTCATTCCAACACCCTGCCATGGGCAGGGACACCTTCCACTAGACCAGTTGCTCCAAGCCTCATCCAACCTGGCCTTGAACAATTCCAGGGATGGGGCAGTCACAGCTTCTCTGGGTAACCTGTGCCAGGGCCTCACCACCCTCACTGGAAAGTTTCTTCTTAATATCCAATCTAATCCTGCCCTCTGTCAGTGTGAAGCCATTCCCCCTTGTCCTGTCACTCCAGACCCTTGTCCAAAGTCCCCCTCCAGCTCTCTTGGAGCCCCTTTAGGCACTGGAAGGCACTCCAAGGTCTCCCTGGAGCCTTTTCTTCTCCAGGTTGAACAACCCCAGCTCTCCCATCCTGTCTCCAGAGCAGAGGTGGTCAGGACAATTCCTGGAGCAAGATCAGGGGGCACTGGTTTGTCCCCATACTGGGGGGACCAGAACCAACACTTTCCTGGAGCCTCCAACAGCAAAAGTCCCTGTGAGTCTCCTGGCACACGTAGAACAGAAGGGGAGCACTTTTAGAAACAACAGCACAAACCAGGGCTTGTTCCATGCAGTGGAATTAGCCTGAGGAATTCCTGATAAATAAGAGTAATGAGCCTTAACAAGGAAACAACTGGAGCTACAGCATGAAAAGCAGATCCCCCACAGAGGGCTGGGATGCAGAACTGGCACAAGACCCACACACTGCCACTGTCCTGGCATGGGTGACCACAGGGCACATCTCCTGGTGGGTCCCACCAGCCACAGAGGGGACCTGGGGCTCTGCCCACCTACTGATCACACCATGACAGTGGTGCAAAGGGCAAAGGATGGCAGAGCCATGAGAGCAGGGGTAGAGCACCCTGAGGCTCAGCCTCATGCCCCAGAGGAAGATTTTCCCAGGAAGAGCAGCTCAGCTCCTTTTTGGGATCACTGCCCCGCAGAGATGCCTCTTCACCTCCAATCCTGCCACTTCCCCACTCCATCACGGATCCACCACCTGTGCCAGTGATACACTGGGCTGGGTAGGTATTGCCCCTCCTAGGTGCTTTCCATTGGGAAATGGGGCCATGGAACCCCTGGAGAGACCCTCACTATCGGCTCAGTGAAGTGTCCGATGGTTCCTCAGCTTGTTCCTCTGAAGGTTTCATGGCCACAGGCTGACGAGCTTCCAAAGCTCAACTCCTGTGGGATTCAGAGGGATCTGGTTGCTGTGCTGGCCTGAGACACCCCAACAGCTCACCCCATCCCCACGGGGAACACGGGAGAAGGTGTGAGAGCCCAGGGCTCACCCTCAGCTCAACGCTGCTGTGCCAGCAGCTGCCACATTTTCCCAGATTTCTCGCTCACTGCTTCCTTTGTTGAGGCTCCCATCACCCTGCCCGCTGCCGGATTCCCGTGTTTCCCTTGGCACATCCTGTGTGAGGAGCGTTTTGCAACGGTGGCACCGAGCCCAAGCGTCTGAGAGCAGCTTCACCCACTGCAGAGACCTGGGAGAGGAACCGTGGTGTCCCCTGGGAGATCTCCAGCCTCCCAGGATGAACAAGATTAAAAGCAGAGGGAATGCGGGGAGGGAAATCACAGCTTTGTTTTTCCACGGGGCAAAAAGGGCTCCACAGGAGCCTCCCTGCCTTCCTGACACTGCCTCTGTTTTTCTTCACACTAAAAATAAGCACAGTATTGGAGGTGGCCAACCACCAGCAGCTGATGCAGGGCAGAGCCCTGTGTCCCCAGACAGCAGCAATGCCAGGGGTGGCTTGCAATGGAAAAGGGACCGGGATACAGCCGGGCTGTGGTGGGAAGGAGAAGGATCCAGCAGCCAGGGCCGGCAGAAGTCCTGATGGAGGAGGGGGGTCAGCACTGGGGGCACCATCCGAGCAGCTGGGGGCAAACACTGGTGACCATGTCTGTGCTCCTACTCCTGCCATGGGGGATTTTTGGGATACAGGGGTTGCATTGCTCCTGCTCAGGAGATTCCAAGGATGTGGTGATACCTCCAATAGGCTGGGAACCTCTGCTCCAGTGGAGATGGCTCATCCCAAAGCAGGCAGAGCTTCGCCTGAGTTCCGGGCAGAGGGAGATCATGGAATCACAGAACCATTTAGGTTGGAAAAGACCTTCAACATCATCAAATCCAACTGCTAACCCAGCACTGCCAAGGCCACTGCTAAATCCAGCTCAGGGCAGAGCTGAGTGCTCAGGGCGCAAGCAGGGACAAACCCCACGGGGTGTTTATGCAACACCACCAGAAAAATCAATGGTGCTAAAAGTGGTTGTATCCCATTCCAAAGTGCAGGAGCATCTCCTTTTATCCTCCTGTTTGTTATAAAATGCTGAGTTGCCACACGGAGATTACAGGAAAACAAAGACCATTTGGAAAGCTCGGGTTATGCAGTTCATCACTTTTCCAGCTGACCTGGCTGTACCTCCAAATGGGGAGGTGGCAATTCCCAGCCCTCACCAGCTAAAAACAAGGTGCCTGATCAGAGGGCACAGTCTGGGCTCTCGCTGGGCCCTCTGGAGTCAAGAGGAAATGGGAAAAGAGCTCCATGACATGCTGTAGCAGCATGACAGCAGGAGCAGGACACCCAGTGTGCAGACCCCGTGTCTCACCCCGGGCTGGGAAGGTCAGCAGGATGGGATGGAGGTGACATCGCACCGCACAGCCCATCCTGCACAGGTGCTCTGCCAGGAGCAGAGCTGAGGACTGGGAAGCAGAAGGAAGAGCCCACTCCTTCAGGATACAAAGGCAAAAACATGGAAGACAAATCCAGCTTCCAGTGCAACAGCTACTCCTCCCCTCTGTGCCTCGGCGCAGCGGAAGCAGGTCTCCCCTAACCACCATCCACCTTGAGAGAGGGCTGGGAATGACGGCGGTGCCGGGGGATTAGCCCTGGGTCTCCGCACCGCTGGAATGGCCTACTTTAACCACACACCAGATCTCCTGCCTCAGCCCTCTGCAGCGCTGCCGAGGTGGGAGCAGGGGCACTGCCCCTCTGACCCCCACCCTGGGACCCCACAGCCCTGGACACCGGGATCTGCACCTTCTGGCACAAGGTCACAGCACGGCGTGTCCATTGCCCAGGGAGGGTGGGAACACCAGGATTTTATAAGCAGAACAGGCGCCCAGCAGCGGGTTCTGTGCAACAACCACAGCGCTGACCTTGCGGGGAGGAGAGAACAGAGCACCCGGCTCAGCCCACTCGGGTGTTTCCGTGTCCCTTTGGAGATGGAGCATGAAGCCATTAAGTAATAAAATGTCAACTGCACAGCAGCTCCAGCTCCTGCAATGCCCCATGGAGCAGGAGACACACTGGGATGCTGCACGAGCAGATATGGGGCTGGGGTTTGCAGGGACAGTCTGGTGCATAAGATGAGAGTCTGATCCCTGTGACGTGGGACTGGTGTATGCAGGAGGGTCTGGTGCAGGAGAGGGGGGTTTGGAGTGTGCAGGGAGGGTCTGGTGCATGTGATGTGGGTCTGATCCATGTGACATGGGACTGGTGTAAGCAGGGAGAGTCTGGTGCATGAGATGTGGGCCTGGGGTCTGCAGGGAGGGTCTGGTGCTTCCAGGGAGGGTCTAATGCATGTGATGGGGTCTGATGCATGTGACAAGGGTCTGATATGGGTCTGGTGCATGTGATGTGGGATTGGGGCATGCAGCGGAGGATCTGGTGCATGTGATGTGGGTCTGGGGTGTGTAGGGAGGGTCAGGTGCATGAGATGTGGGTCAGGTGCATGAGATGTGTGGCTGATGCTGCTGTGTGGGTCCTAGTGCATGTAATGTGGGTCCGGGGTTGTGAAGCAGGACTGGTGGGTGTGGTGGGGGGTCCAAGTGGCTGCAGTGTGGGTCGGGGTATGCCATGGGGATCTGGTGCATGCCGTGGACTCTGGCGCGCAGGCAAATACGGTCGTGCCGTGTGTGGCCGCGGGTCTGGCACACGCAATTGCGGGTGCGCTGCGCGGCCTAATCCGTGGACGCCGCCCCGAGAACCCTGAGTGCCCCGGGGAAGCCCCCCATTCTGAACCCCCCCGCGATGCGGAGGCGGCGTGGCAGGACCCGTGCGTGGCGTCCACCCCGCCTCCCCTCTCCGAAATCTGCAGCCAGAAAGAATGAGTCACGGCGTCCCGCCGAAACCGCCGGCCCCCGCCCCGCACCGCGCCCCGCCCGCTCACTCTTGCCGCGAGCGGCCCCGCGATGTCGGGGCGGCGAGCGCCGGCGGAGGGCTCAGCGACCTGCCGGGATAGGGAGAACGGGCGGTGAGCGGCAGGCGACGCGGCGTGCCCGGCGCGTGTGCCCCGGGCGCGGGCCCGGTGCGGCTGCCCGGTGCGTGCCCGGCGCGGTGCCCGGTGCGGTGCCCGGTTTGCGGGTCCCCGCGCCCTCCCCGCTGCCCGCGCCCTCCCCCGCCTCCATCACCTGGCGCCGGCCCTTTCATGGTGCCGCGGCCGGCGCGCCCGGGAGCGCTGGAGGGGATGAGGGATGGAGGGAGGGAGGGATGGAATGGGGAGGGAGGGAGGGATGAAGAAGGGAGGGAGGGATGAGCCGAGCAGCTGCGTAATTTGCTCCCTCCTCTGCGATCTTAAAGCGACGGCGCCGCGGGTGCCTCCCCTCCCGCCGGGTTTCCCCCCGTTTCTATGGCAACTCTCCTCTGCCGGGGCGTAACCCCCTCAAAAAAGAAAACAGCCGGTTTTGGGGTCCTTCCCCGTCGGCGGAGCCCCGCGGACCGGGTGAGCCCTGCGCCCTGTAGCGTGAGCTCCTCCCCCGCCGTAACCCGGAGGGAGGAGGAGGAGGAGGAAGGGGAGGGGGGAGACGGGGCAGCCCCGCTCTGCGGCCACCCGGCCCCTGGAGTCCCATCGGCGTCGTAATTTTCATTTTAGCAGGTGCAGCTCTGAGGAGATCCCTGCCCCAAATTAGTGACGCATTTTCATAAAGTAAAATCAATAAATAACTGGAATTCTCTGCCCTATTTCCATCCGCTCTGGGTGAGCGCGAATTGCCGGGGCTGGGGTGGAGAAGCAGCATCAGCCACAGCGAGCTGCTGCCCCGGGCTGTTCCTGGGGTCCGGGGGTTTGGGAGATGAGGCTGGAGGCTGGCACGGCACGGCACGTCCTCCAGCACAGCCCAGGTACTCATGGCACTGCCCGCACCCTTCCTGCGGTAGCTGTCGAGATTAACCTTCCCAAAATTATCCCATGAGGAAGCATCTCGGGAGCCCCCGCGCCACGTCCTGCAGCCTGTGAGTGGGTGGGTGGGGGGAGCAGGAGGGCACCTGGTCTGGCTCTGCTCCGGTGTCCGCGGCCAGGAACGCCCAAGGTCGTCTGCGGACACCCCCGTGGAGACCAGGAGCATGAGATGCACGTGTTACATACACCCAGGTAACATCCGACGTGTGTGAGTCCACATACGGAATCATGGAGGGAAACGTTCCCGTGTCGGCACGGTCAGAGCAGAATCAGCTCCTGCTTTGGGTCCGGACCTGAGGCCCATTGTGCTTCCCAGCCATTCCCAGCTCCCTTTGTCACACCCCCACAGTTATTCTGGAGTTCTGACAAACCTGTTTGGTTAATACATGCCCGTCTTTCCTCCAGCGCTATTTCCTGCATGATTTGTGCCTCATTAATCCCGACACACAGACTGTTTTCAGTGTATATATATATCTCCCATTTATTCCTGCCCGCCTCCAGCTGCCTTTTGTTTCCCTTGTTCCTGGTGAATCCAGTGCACAGCCTCTCTCCTTGAAAGGAAAATTAATGAGTTATCACATCTGCTGCCACTGGAGCAGCTCTGGCCATGTGGCACAGGCAGCAGCTCTGCTGTGAGATGCAGAGTCATTCCTGATGGCTTTTGGGGGAGACAAATAGTTCCTCCTTCCCTCTGCAGTCTGCAGTGCTTGGTTTCCTGGGATGCTCAGACTCGCAGACTGGGAGCACTGCTCCAAGGGGACTGGACCTGCCATGGGAAGAGAGGGAGAGGTTTTCACCAAAACCAACCCCTTTTCCCACCCAGGTCAGCACTTGGCTCTGGAGCTGCCAGGCCCGGCCCAAGGAGAGGATGAACCCACCTCAGTTCCAGTCTTGGCCTGGGCCATGCTCCTGTTCTCACCCAAAAAGGGAAATAGCATTTGTTTTGCTGAAAAGGGAGAGGTATTTTACCAAACAGGGACACTTTTCCCTTTCTTACACCCCTCAGAGAACAGCAGCAAATGTTTATTGCTTATTTTATCAAAAATTCCTATGTGGAAATAAAAGGACACCAGCTGGAACACCCCATAGCCAGTGGCCACCCTGTGCCATCCTCCTGCCCCAAACTGGGGCTTCATCCCTTTTTAAAGCCTTTTTACTCCCTTAAACAGACCCTCAACCCAAACCTCACCTGCCCTGAACCCTGTGTGACAGGAACCACACACATTTGAGGGCCCAGAGACACAGGGGTGTCACTGAGGTGAAGTGAACACCCAAAAGCCAGGTGACAATATCACCCATCCTTTCCAATTTTAAGTAAAATCACCACATCCCTGACTGAGATGAACCCACAGGATTCGATCCTTCAGAAGAAACACCAACAAGTGAAGGAAACATCTAATTTTTATTGATTCCACATGAAGGGAGAGTAGTGTCCCCACAGCACCAGAGCACCTGAGTGGGGGCACAACCACTCCTCTGGTGTCTGTTGGGGCCAACTGGAAACCAAGAGCTTCAGAAAATGACAGTAAAAGGGGTAAAATTTATCTTAAATTAGACAAAAATACAAGGAACTAGTAATATTTCAGTTAACATCAATTTTTAAGTAAATCTACACATGAATAAAGGTGCTAGTAAGTAAACTATCTCTGAAATTGCAGGACTTCTAGGTAATAGAATTTCTTCCTGAAACTTATGGACACTTCTAGGGCCAGTGTAACATCTGTCTCTCTGGACAGACAAAAGCAACACTGGAGACAGGACCTTGCTAGATCTTAAAATATCAAATACTGAACGTTCTTTGAAAGGAATAATTTTAAATAGACTAAATTTTTTGCTAAGGAGAGTTAACAGATGTCTCTTACTGATGGTGTGAGAGGATTAACAGACACAAGCCTCCATAAAAACAATTTAATCTCCAAAAGTGGTCTATGAGAAACATTTTGAAGGACTTCTATAAAATCCCTTCAAGGACTTTTATAAAATTCCTTTAAGGACTTCCATAAAATCCCCAACAATGTAAATCTCCTATGTGGAATATATGTTAGTGGTATCTTGTTAACCTATCATATAACCATCCTATAACTCATCATATAACCATGAATATTAAAGATAAGCCCAGCAGAGAACACCTGGGGCAGCACACCTGCACAGGCCCCTGCTGCGTGGTGTAAATGACAGGGAGCTCTGCTCAGCTCCCATGGTTGGACAAGGAAGGCACTCAACCCTTTTCCCAGGAAAACTGTTTGCTGAGAAGGTGTAACTTCAGGTGTGTCTTGATGAGCTGATGATTCTGTCAAACATGGGCCCGGCCCTGGCCGTGAGGTCGGCGAAGGGCTCGCGCTGCCGCAGCTCCAGGACCAGCTGCTTCTTCAGGACCAGGAAGATGTAAAACTTGGCTGCAGCTTCTTTCCGGTTGTTGTTCCGACAGAGCTCCCGAAAACTGAAGGAGCACGAGCCTGATGTCCTCAGTTGCTGCGTGAGGGAAATGAGAAATCAGTCAGGTCAGCTTCCCCACCGGTCAAACAGGATCCCACGGGCTCCAAGTAGAGAGAGCTGCCCAGAGGGAATATCTCTGCTTGAATGCCTCGAACAGGATCCAGCCTTCGTGGAATCATGGAAGAACAGAACAGGTTGGGTTGGAAGGGACCTTAAAGATCATCTCATTCCCCCGCCCCAGGCAGGGGCACCTTCCACTAGACCAGGTTGCTCCAAGCCCACATCCAACCTGGCCTTGAACACTTCCAGGAGTGGGGAGTCTACAGCCTCTCTGGGTATCTTGGCATCCGTGTTTATGGAAATGGCTCTGAACATTTTATTGCCACAGTATTGCTGGTACCTACATGTGTTACTAACATCTACAATTCCAATGAATTCCGTGACACCAACGGATCACTTCCACCGTGGTTCGTGTCTGAAAACACTAAATATCCATGTGCAGCCTGTTCTTTGGTTACAGGGACCTCACAGGCAAGAACTAAGTGTTCTTATCTCTTGTTTTTTAAAAGGCTACACTGAGGTTTAAGTATGTATTTATTATTTGCACAGAGCCTTTGAAATGAGTTCGTATAAAATAATGTTCAGAAAATTCTCGCGATTCCTGCAGCTGTGGGAGGAGACCCCACGTCAGGCACCCCAAATCCTGACATAAATACCCAAAAAAGCACAGTTACATGCTGCAGGTGAGGGGCAGCGACATGGACAGTGTGGAAGGAGGAGCTTTTCTGACACGGTCCATCTGAAATAACACCTGGTTTTGACGTCTAATAACAAGATCCAGAACTGGTACCTGTAAAGTTTTGTGTAACTGAAGAGTTCTTTTGCTCCATTTTATTTCTTCACTGTCTCTCTTGATCCTTTTTTGCTCCTTGAGAGGAAGTAAACAGAAGGTTAGTGTTTGTAAAAAGTCACACACTGTGATGAAAAGGACAGGAGTTCCAGCTTGACTGAAAACCTGAGCATCTGGGTGGCCAAAGTCAGGGAATCTGACACGTCAGTGCTCACACAAGGTTTTGTGAACAGAGAGAAGAAGGGTACCTGTGTGCTTTCTGCTGCAGAGACAGCTCAGGTGCAACAGGCCAGGTACCATGGAAGGCATTCCAGTGAAGCAGCTCCACAGCAAGGGACTGCTCTGTGGGACTGGGATTCTGACAATATTTGTACTGGATGTTCAAATATTTGGCATGGGATTTTGGGCTTAACCTCTGAAGCTGGCAGCTGACTGCCCTGGTTCCTGATGCCACCCAGGGCCACCAGCTCTGAGGACACACACCTTTAGCACCTCCACCTGCTGTTCTTCAGCTTCCTGGCCCAAGGAAGTTTTGGAGCTCTCGGAGAAAGCTGCTCCATCCAGCTGTGGGCACGGAAAGGACAATCAGCAGGGCTGACCATTTATCCATACAATGAGATTCTCATTACTTAGCTCTGCTCAGAGGATTTAATTATAATGAAGTTCTCCAAAATTAGTTAACAGTTGCTATTTCCACCGTGCCTTTCCTGACACTGGGAAGGACCTTGCTGTAGGAGTTATCCTACAGCTGAACCTGCACCTATGGGCACAGTTCAGGCACGGAGCACATGTTCTCTGCTGCCATTAGGTCCAATTTTGTCACTTTTCAACTTTAATGAGGCTTCTATTCTCTAAAGAATGCCCTTCACCCTAAGTGAAGATGGTAGAGATAGATAATTTGTTATTGCTTAAGTATTTCCTCAATATGAGACACAAAATCCTTTATAAAGATTAGTATATTTATCT